CCCTCTTTTGTGAGAAGAAGTCGTGATGAGAGGCTATCTTCTAAGTAGACAACCCGCGATAGAAGGAGATCAACTGCTGCTTGTATGCGAGGGTGAATTGAGAAGATCTGCGTCAATAGTATCCGGGAGGAGAGCCAGTAGATGGGGAGAATTTTGATGTTGTTCGAGCGAAAGTCTATCGGCTATGAACAATTGAGTTGAAGCCCATTAGCAGGCAACGACCGAGTGTAGAGCTAAAGGAGAGAGTTCGAGGGTGTGCTGCAAGTAGTAGTCGAGCAAGAAACTGATGATGGTCGATATGAAGTGAAGGACCGCCAGCAAATATCAGAAGATTGACATAATGATGGAAAGAGTCTAGTGGCATTTTTCCCATGCAATATGCATCCATACTGAAGTGTACCAACAACAGATATTACTGAGTCAAGGGGCAGGAGCAGTGTGTTATGTTAGTGGTCTGGCGACACATGTATAGTGCTAACTGATTTGAAGCTTGATAAAGATCAAATTGTAATCTATATTTTTGCTTGATGTATAATCTTGTAATATAACTCCAATGATATTGTATAAGAAGTTGAGAACTTGTCCTTCGGAGCAAGCTGAATTATGATTGCATCTTTAAGGCATGCTTTGATATATTGCATAATATATTTTTTGAAGATTTTTAGCATGCTAATAATCTCTATAAAAGATGCCAAGAGAATCCACCAAGGATGTGCGACCTATCTGAGGTTATATGTCGGAGCCTTTGCTAGACGATGTTAACCTGTGTAGAAGAGATCAAGAGAATCCACCAAAGATGTGAGACCTATCTGAGGTTGTATGTCAGAGCCATTACTCGACGTCGTTAACCTGTATGAAAGAGGTCAAGAGAATCCACCAAGGATGTGAGACCTATCCGAGGTTGTATGTCGGAGCCTTTGCTCGACGACGTTAACCTGTGTGGAAGAGGTCGAGAGAATCCACCAAGGATGTGAGACCTATTCGAGGTTGTATGTCGGAGCCTTTACTCGATGATGTTAACCTGTGTGGAAGAGGTCGAGAGAATCCTCCAAGGATATGAGACCTATCTGAGGTTGTATGTCGAAGCCTTTGCTCGACGACATTAACCTGTGTGGAAGAGGTCGAGAGAATCCACTAAGGTTATAAGACCTATCTGAGGTTGTATGTCAGAGCCTTGCTCGATGATATTAACATGTTTAGAAGAGGTCGAGAGAATCCACCATGGATGTGACACCTATCCGAGGTTGTAATTTAGAGCCCTACTCGATGACATTAACCTGTGTGGAAGAGGTCGGATCAAATCAACCTAGGATTGATCATCAAGTGATTTAGATACAATATAGATTATATATTTCTCGAATCACAGAGAAAGAGTTTGAAAAGTTTTTTATCTTTCATAAGAGAAAATAATATCACAATAACATGAACATTATATTACTTTATTATATATGACAGTACAATAATTCCTAGTATTACATAGGGATATATAAGTTACAATATACTCAATACATAAGATCTACATATGAGGACAACACAATGTTTGACTTGAAAGAAGACATTAGGGATATCAAAGTGACACCCTACTTAAAATAAATGAGACAACAAGATAACTAGTATTATAAATACAAATGCACGAAGTGCGTGATCATTCAATCTCTCTAACCATCTGAATATTATTCAATGGTTGTCTTTGTTGTTGATTTTGCCCCCCAGCGGGACGAGCTTCCTCTTGGGTAGATAGATCTCGAATAAATTATCGAAGATGGCCTTGGAGGATAAGTCTTTCAATCTCATCCTTGAGTTGATTACAGGCTTCGGTAGTGTGACCACGACTACGATGAAAGTGACAGTACTGATCTGGATTTCATGTGTTCGACTTCAAAGGATTCAGTCATTTCAATGTATCTTAATCTCGAACGGCCATCAATACATTTTCTCGAGATATATTGAGTGGGATATACTCCTTCTCCTATTGGAGTTCCCATCGCGGTAATGGAGGCCCAGGAGGTAAATCATTCTTACTTTGCTTTTTCTGTTGTGAGAATGAATTATCCATCCCAAGTATACCTTTGTGCTTCCCGTTGATTTGCTTAAACTGCTTCCTCTGAGTATTTATAGCTTCATCTACAGAAATTGGTGCTTCCACACGATGTATTAGGTCAGTATATGAATGAACAATGTCACGCATGAGTGTTGAATAGAAGGGGCCAGGATGAAGACCTCCAAGAAAGACCCCTCTGAGTAATTCAAGGTCTACTCCTGGAATCTGTAGATCCTCAGTGGAAAATCACTGAAAATATTCCTTCAACGATTCTCCCTCATTTTGGTGGATCCTAGAGAGGTGGAAAAAATCCTTAGCAATTCTTCGATTGGCCACAAACTGTTCAACGAATAGTTTGGCTAATTTGATGAATGATGGGATCATTTTGGATGGAAGCGAATAGAACCACGTTCGAGCTTGTCCTATAAGGGTGGTAGGAAAAACCTGGCAAAGGAGTGCATCTGATGCTCGTTGAATATGCATGATGGTTATGTAGTAGTCGATATGCTCATACGGGTCGGTTGTTCCGTCGTAGGACTCAATGTTTGGTACTTTGAATCCAACCGGAATGGTGTGCTGAATAATGGTTTCAGATAGAGGTGATGAATCCTGGAAGTTTTTCTGTCGGAGAGCTTGCCTCACATCTCCTCGGGGGAACTCTTCCCGTACCAATCTTCGCAGTTCGTGACGTAGAGCATTATGAGGGAGCTCAATAATGTGTGGTTGTGCTGAGTCTTCTGGAAGATCTAGAAGAATGCGAGCCTACCGAGTTGAGGGCGAAGGATGTGTAAAACTTGCTATATCAGCGAGTTCGTTGTTCTGATGCATCTACCTTCTTGGGGGAGGAAGAGGAATCTCTGCTTGAAGATTCTCAAATTGAATATCTTCAACTCGCGGTGGATCTCGAGGGAGAAGAACTTCCTCCCGTTTTGGTAGTATTTGTTGCCGAGTTTCTCACAGGAGTTGAAGGATCTCAATCTGAGATTCTTCCATCTTCAGGATTATTTCTTCTAAAGAAGGTCCCGGGGTTCCTTCTATGGCAGCATTTTGCCCCCCCAAGGATGAAAAGAGGTAGACATCGGGGCGTCTGTGATTCACAGACTGATTTCTGGATTGGTGAGAGTTGGAGCGGGAAGCTTCAATAATGCGACTGTTACGTCTGTTGATCATCGTAGTAATACTTGAAGTTGTGGGATAGTGTTCCCCACAGATGGCGTCAAACTGTTGTGTCCAGGAGTATTCGCGGTGGTAGAGGAATATAAAATTTAGCATCTTAGCGTTGTACGAAAATCCGGCACGCAATCAGATAAGAGAAATGATCAAGCATTTATGAGACACCAAGATTTTTACGTGAAAACCCTTGAAAAGGGGAAAAAACCACTGGGCCTAACCCAGTTTGAATGAATCCATTAGTATAATAGTTGATTATGAATGAGGCCCATCATTGAGAGAAGGCCTTAGCTTGATGTACTTTTTATAGAGTACATTACATGATGTAAATACAAAGAGTCACTATTGATGTGTTTGTTTGGTCAAGAGGACCATAGTCTGGTGACGGAGGTCGAAAGAACTGTAGTATGCAAACGATGTAGGTCAGAGGACTGTAGTCGGCTAAAGACGGAGGTCGAAAAGACTATAGTCGGTGGGAGACATAAGTCAGAAGAACTGTAGTCGGCGGGCGACATAAGTCAGGAGGACCGTAGTCAACTGGAGACTGGGTCGGAAGGGCCGTTGTCTTGCGATGGAGGCTGGAAGGATTGTGTCTGACGATGAAGGTCAGAAGGACAGCGTCAGGTAGAAGTCCAACAATGGAAAGAAATCCATCTTCGGATATACATCCAGCGAATGTCTGACAACTGGTAGAAGTTCTGCGTCGGGTAGAAACTTGGCGAAGAGTAAAGGTATGAGGAGAACTCAGGCATCACTTAGGCGGAGGAGAACTCCGGCATCACTTATGCGGAGTTTCGGCGTCAAGAGGGAACTTTGTCATTAATTGGGAAGAGTTTCAGCATCCCGTGGAACTTGGGCAGAATTCTGGCGTCCCGTGGAAGTTGGGCAGAATTTCGGCGTCATTTGGAGTTCGAGCGGAACTCCGGCGGTGGTCGAGGAGCTGATTCTCCTCCTTCTTCTATTCTCTTTGCTTCTTGCTTGAGTCACCTCTTATGAAGAATGAGGGTTTTATTTATAGTTTTCATGGAGTGATATAGCCCGTAAATAGGTGTGAGATTAGGGGCGAATTGGGAGTAGTTTGAATGGGCGGCCGATATCGAATCCCTTGATCGTGCACCGTTCATCAGGCATTTGAAGGCCTTATTGATGTATGAATTTGGCGATCTTAGGCTCGTTGGATTTGTCTCATCGAGCTGTTCGATTCGAGTATAAACTCATTAAAAATGGAGACCGTTTGGTAACTCAAATTGTGATTTGAACCTTCTAACAGCACTTCGAGTCTTCGATTCAGACTCATTTGGACTCGGATTGAGTTGAATTTGGTGTCGTTGGGTTCGTATTTCCGAGACGCTCAGTCTGACTGTAAGCTCGCTGAAATCGAAGTTTAGGTGCTCTCGGATTTAATTTTTGAAGTTTTCTGATTGGTTTTTGCTTTGAGATTCGTGCCCGATCAAGATGATTTCATGACGACGTATCAATACTGATTAAGACAACCTCCCAGACATTGATTCTAAGTTATTATCTTGACTATAAGAGAGGCGAAATCGTACTATAATTCACTACTTGATCATCAATGTCCGCCGATTATTCTACTAACTTTTCAAAAATTCTGCACCGATCATTATTAGCAATAACTAAGTATGCATACATACATAGCAAAGCAGCTCAACCATCGGGCAGTCACCAATGATCAATAACCCGATTCGTTTTTCAAATCAAAAGCAACCTATCTATCACTCTATAAAGCGCAGAGATCCAGCCACCAACCCAATAACCCACCCAGCAGTCACTTCCCTTCCCTTCTCCCCCTTCTCCTCCTCTCTCTCCTCGCCTTCCTCTCGACACCATGAAGTCCTTCTCAAACACGAGACTCATCCTTCTCCATCCATCCCTTACCAAGCACAACCCAACTCCCTTCTCCCCCAACCGCCTCTGCGTCCTCGCTTTCATTTCTTTCTTCGCCTTCGTCTTCCTCCTTACCCTTTTATCCGGCCGCGAAACTCCAGCCCGTCGCCCCAACCTCTTTCCGAGCCCCACCACCCCGATCCCTTCCTCCGGTCCCGCCCCGTACCTCTTCGACGCCCTGATTCACTACGCGGCTCAGTCAACCGCCGGCCTAATGCCCGACCGCGATCTCCGCTCCATAGCCAATCTGCTTCGCCAACGAGCGCCGTGCAATCTTCTAATATTCGGTCTCGGCCCGGAAAGCCTGCTTTGGCGGGCGCTGAACCACGGCGGACGTACCGTCTTCATAGACGAGAACCAATACTACATTGCCCACTACGAGGAGCGGAATCCCGGCCTCGAAGGCTACGACGTGGCTTACACAACCAAAGTGAGCGAGCTCAAAGAGTTATTAGCAGAGGTACGGGTTCAGATACGCAGCGAGTGCCGGCCGGTTCAGAATCTACTTTTCTCTGACTGCCGGCTAGGCATCAACGATCTGCCGAACCATATCTACGATGTGGCGTGGGACGTAATCGTTGTGGATGGACCGCGAGGGTATTCTCCGGAGAGTCCTGGAAGGATGTCAAGCATATATACGGCGGCGGTGCTGGCGCGCTCTAGGGGAGAGGGGGCAACCGATGTGCTGGTACATGACTACGAGCGCGAGGTGGAGAAAGTTTGTAGCGGTGAGTTTCTTTGTCGGGAGAATCTGGTCGGTGCTGACGGCCAGCTCGCGCATTTCGTTATTCGTGGAGGGGAGGCTGCTCGGAAGGATGATTTCTGCTTCAACCGGACAGCCACCGCCGCGGTGGCCTTGTAGCTTCTTGTATAATTTGCTGTTTTTTTTTTTTTTTAAATGAGGGTGATAAAATGAAAGGTATGTAATTGGAATTAATAACAAGTAGATATAATATTTTTTTATAATTGAGCTTTTATACATTAAAACTTTATTTTAAATTGTTTTTGTTTTATAAGATTAAGTATAAACTTGGCAATTAAGATTTATTCTGAATTGCTGCAGGAAAAGTAACTTAGCTATTTTAACCGTAAAAATTTATTTTCATTATAGAAATTTTTGAGAAGCTGTGAGAGAGTAATTGATTATTGTTTAAAAATCAGAACACCTAGAAAATTATCTCAAGCTAACCCTTAATTAAAACTATATTTGAAAAGATTTAGTTACAATATTTTGATCAAAATTTTAGCTAGTACGAGTCCTACAATTTTTAAATTTACTTTCACTGATTGTAACATATATGAAATTAATATTGCACTCTCCTTAAGATAGATATGAAAATGATTTTGGCCATTTTTTGTTAGAATGTTCTAATAAAAGATGAATTATATATTTATTTTGAAATAAGGATAAATGAAATATAATAATATGTATAATCAATAAATTTATGTAAGAATAATTTTTGGGTAATATGTATCAAAAATAGGCTTGAATGCCTTTAAATTAAAATTAAAATTAATACAAAAAAAAATAAATCTAAGCATTAATCTCAACATATATTTAAAAATATTTAAATTATATTAAAATATTTTTATAGAATTATTTTTTGGTTAGAATGAGCTGCGGCCTGCGGGCAATTATGTAGTTATTTTATCATTTTTGTGAGGGAAGAGGAGAATTAGGACAGTGCTCAAATACACACATAATATATTCAAACTTTCTTAATTAAGAGTCAAACTGCGGACCAACAAATTAAGAAGGGCTGAGTAATTTTGTAGTTATTATTACGGTGATGATGAAGTGGAAAGCTGGGTCGTGGTGGGGCCCCCAACATTTCAAATAACGAGGTTCTCTTTCCGTTTTTAACTTTCTTTTGAACGCATAACGTGCATCGAGCATTGCTTTGGCCACTTTTTTTTAAATTGTTAGGTTTATTTTTATTGCATAATAAATGTTGGGATGTGTGATGAACTAATTAGCGCCAGTTTGGCAGCTAATTTGACTTGGATTTTGCCCGAAATCTCAATGCTCAAACCGACACGATTTTTTTGTCGTATATCTGCAAAAGTGTCGGTGGATTTTTGGTGGTCCACTTCCTCTATGAATACATTTTTTTATTTTTAACAAATTTAATAGTAAATGAGCTAAATTTTTTCAACTATTTGTATATTTCTAGTTTAATCATATATGATTATAATGCTCTAATTTAGTCTATCCATTATATTAAATTGATTAAAAATAATTTTTTTGTGACTAAATTGTAATCAATTTTATGATGCCGAAAGATTAAATTGAGATCATTTTTCTACACAATTTTAACATGAGGGGTTATATTAAATTAATTTTGTATAACAGAGGGAGTAAATTGAGATCAATTTGATTCAAAATAATATCTTTTGGACCATACAAAATTTATCCAAAATAATCTCTTGGGGCTAAATTGTAATTAATTTTGTAAAATTGAAGAGCTAAATTTAGATCAATTTTATATCACAATTATAACATAAAAGATTATTTTATATCAATGTTGCACTAAGAGGCGGAGTGAAGATTTTTTCATTTGGGGCACAAATTTCCTTGATTTTCAGAAACCTCTGTTTCGTCATGAACACGGAAGGCTAAACCTTGCTGTATAAGAAAATGCACACAATCGGCACTTACATTTAATCATGACAAAGCTCCAATCTAAAATTTATATGGAAATTCATGCTTGATTAGGTAGAATTATTTATCAAGAGCGAAAAAAATTCCACTATATTCTTTCTCATTTTTTTATTTATTAGTAGGAGAAAATTTGTTATATGATAGGAGAAATTTTGTTGTGTGATAGAAAAGTTTACTATAACTTAGGGGAAAATTCTATAAGATGGTGGTTAGACATGTAATGTTTTATGTCGTAGAATGTTGGCCATTAAAAGAGAAGCTTAATATTAAGTGTTACAGAGATGAGGATGCTCAGGTAGATGAGTGACTTTAATCTTAACGGCAAAATACGAAACGAGCATATACATGAAAATGTTAGAGTGACTCTAGTGGCGGATAAGATTAGTGAGAGTTGCCTTAGATGGATTGGTTACATAAAACGACAGCCTTTCGATGACCCGGTTAGGAGAGTAGATGTATTAGATTTGACCTATTAAGAAAGTTGTTTCTGCTTCGACTTGCGAGTGAATGACGTCAGGTGAACAGTATCGAGAACTTGTATGAGATAGATGCTTCTAGGTTATATATGCATATAAAGTAAACTAATAAAACATAAAAACATTGCTCTGGCTAGTGGGGGCACGTGCCCCCATCGTGCCTTCGCCCCTGGTTGTACTGTCGAGAAACTAAATTAGTGCAATGTGATATTTTGAGACCAAATTGGTTATATATGATTGGAGACTATTTTAAGACATTTTTTAATAAGAAATATATACTTATCTTATATATAAGCCCTCAAGAAAATGAACTACAGTCCATCAATTAAAATGGGATGCATACTCCTGCTATTTTTTTTAAATGAATCCTATAATTGCTTTTTATTGTTGGACATTTGAGCCATCAAGACAAACTTACTTGTACATTACATGCCAAAATCCCATACCAACAGCCTAAGGTGAGCTAAGTAAGTGTTATTGTTTCATTATTTCTTATGTAATTATAATTAATTTGTACGCTAATTTAGAAATTCATTCTTAGCTGATTTAAATTTTATATAGTAACTCTTCATTACCTGTCAATTATGAGTGATGTTGAAGTCTTGGAGCCTTCCATGAATTTGAGAGGGTTTTTTTTTTTATTATTTTTTTATTTTAATGGTATCAACATACACGAGCATTAACTAATTTTTATAGTTTTTTTCTGCAAATAAACGTACTAGTCAATATACATTAGTATTAAGAAAAACAACATAATATGAGAAGTTGAACCCAATTTTGCTCGATTTGAAAAATAGTTAAGTCGACCCGTTTAAAATTTTACAATCAAAACTATTTGGTTTAACAAATTTTTGAATCAAGCTGAACAAATGCAACCCACCAAACATATGACGGCTACTCGTTGAAGCATCAAAGCTACTCCCTAGAATTTGCAAGCCTTAGTGAAAGCATTCTACTTCAGTTTAATTGGAATCACCTCTTACTTAGAACTCAACATGCACTCTCTATGTATTCTTGGACACATGCTTATTAAGGTTATTTTATAGTAAAGTCTTGTTATGCCTTGCTACATAATTTTATTTGTATTACTTAAGTCTTATCTATTTCTAGCTTTGTCTCTCAACCTAAGCTTATAAATAAGGTTCAAAGGATGAGCTGGAGACATTCGATCACTTGCTTAAGGCTTTGTTTTGGATAGTTTTTTTGCTTCTTCTTAAAACGTCTTTTTAGTACAAAAAATTTTAATTTTTGTATTAAAAAGTTGCTTTAAGAAGCAAAAAGAAAGCCGTCCCAAACAAAGCCTAAGTCTTGTAACATCATGTAATATAATAAATAATACAGCTTCTCCCTCTTGATTCTTTTTTAATCTCTTATACTTTCTTTTATTTTATTGTCCTTATCCATAAGGTTTTGATGTTACTCTCAAATAATTCTAAATCAATCATCTTTTAAGGTGAAATGAGCATGTAAAGATATTAATTAAGGACGAGAAGCCAAGCTTTGAGTTGACAAGAAAATAAGAAGAGATCACTTAAATGAAGAACCATGACTTTACTATCAACATGAATTTCAATTACATAAACAAAAAAGACTCATTAGAAGATCAATAAAATTTTCAAGCGTGTCCCAAAATAGTTGTACGACCACAAGTTTCTAATGATGCATCTTCGGATTCCACCATTTATTAACAACCATTGAGTTCAAGTGTTCAACGATATATATTTTAAACCTATCTATGAATGAAACTTATATTCTAGAAAACAACACACAAACGACTCCTTGAAGGATAGAGTAGCATTGGCCATTTTTGAAAATATTCTTTTCTAGAGAAATTATTAAGTCTTAATCTCCTACAAAGTTTAAAATCTCATACTTATACCTATATAATGGAAAAAAACATATCCAAGCAATTATGTACTTAATATTGAGACCATGACTTCATTAAATTAATGATACACTATGGAGCATAAAATTATTTATCGCTTTAAAGAACTTGCTGATAAGTTGTTCTCCTATTTGTTTTCCTCGCATCTTTTTTTTCTTGAAAGTATCACTTTCCTCATCAAATTTAAGAGGCAATAAAACCCCAATATGCTATTGCTTAAAGGCTCTTAAAAAATTCCCAAGTTTATAAAGATAAGGAGCAAGGTGAGTCGTCCCTAAAGAATTTTATTGTAAATTTTCAATAGGAGATTCTAGAGGTCAATGTGGACCTAACTACCTCAATCAAACTAGTAAGCTAGTAACACGGATCCTTGAACTATGCATAGAATTAATCCTGGGTGACAAAAGCTTAGACGATAAAGGGATTCCAACATGGTGCTTTGAAGTATAATGATGCCTCTTCGGATTCCACCATTTATTAACAACCATTGGTTCAACGATATATATTTTAAACCTAGCTATGAATGAAACTTATATTCTAGAAAACAACACACAAACAGTCATTTGTGTGTTGTTTTCTAGAATATAAGTTTCATTCTGAAAATATTTTTTTCAAGAGAAATTATTGAGTCCTAATCTCCTACAAAATTTAAAACATACTTATACCTATATAATGGAAAAAAACTATCCAAGCAATTATGTACTTAATATTGAGACCATGACTTCATTAAATTAATGATACACTATGGAGCATAAAATTATTTATCGCTTTAAAGAACTTGCTGATAAGTTGTTCTCCTATTTGTTTTCCTCGCATCTTTTTTTTCTTGAAAGTATCACTTTCCTCATCAAATTTAAGAGGCAATCAAACCCCCAATATGCTATTGCTTAAAGGCTCTTAAAAAATTCCCAAGTT